GAAAGTTTGTTAGCTTTTAAATAAGCGTTAAGAGGATCAAACCTCTATCACACCATGCAGATTTAGACCACCATAAGTTACATGAGAAGCCGAGCAATGATCAACCCTCTCTTCACCGGGGAGTTTACGATAGGCATGGCCTGAGAGTAAACTGCTATAGGCTGACATTTAGCGCGGATATCACGAAAGGACGCAAATCCTCAGGCTATCCAATTCCAGTGACGTAGCGTCATAGTCAAATATGCCAACTCAAATTGTATTTGTTGTATTATGATATGGCTCGGAAATGAGGTAGCTTCTGTTGTGTTGAGTGATTCCCAGAACTGATTAAATGTGATTTTCTAATGGCTTGCCAGATATGCGCTCCCTCCTTGTTTTTTCGACACGGTCCCAGGTATCTGGCTATGTCCAATCGATGGTAATATAACCATTTGACTGCATCAATTCTAACCGCGCCACTAGTCAATTGTGTATTTGCATATCTTTTAGTCGAGTGGGTGAGTCTATCTCAGGTCATTAGGGTTTCTCGAACATGTAGTTCTCACATTACCAGGCAGGTTAGTTGATTGTAATGTGAAAATTAATGAATAAATTGGTAAATAGGTTAATTTCACTAGACAGGCACGATTCATAGCAGATGGTATTACTGGTTAAGGTGTTGTCAAACTCCGAAAACCTGTGGCATCTTCACTATGCAGGAAATGATAACTGATGTGTCAATGATAACAGTGGTAAATTATGAGACGCACATCTGGCGTAACTGATCTAGGCAGGAAATGGTAATCCATGGGCGAGTGCTTGTTGTTTGAGTCTCGTCTTGAAGCTATCCACTCAGAAGCCGTGGTCATTTATGTTGGGAGAGTATCTCAAGTGGTAGCAACTATTGGTGGAAATAAGTTGGAGTGTACCTGGACGTTGGCTCTTTGATGTGTAGCCGGTCGAGTGTTGCAGCCAGAGGCGTGAACATGGTGATTCGATAACATGCTCTTGTTTGAATGGCTTGGCGTACTTAATATGTTGTATGCTATTGTCGAACCACGTCCCATTTTCCTGTTGCCAAAGAAGAATGACTCCAGGTGCTGGAGTCTGTCCTCGCAAGATTTATGTTTTTGAACCGTTTAGGCATTGAGTCCTAACCACACAATCATCAAAGCTGAACACCAGACAATTGGGGAAATAGATTTCAACATTTAACGCTGATAAAAACCCAATGATGGAGAAGGCGGGAAAAATGAGTTGAATTAATTCGAGTTGATCGAATGGCTTGGGCACACTATGCGTGTTAGTTTACGGGTTTTCGCGCACATGTAACATATTGTCGTGGATTTTATGTTTCGTTATTTATCAGCTATTAACAGCCTTTTTTCCATCATACGTGACTTCTCGTAATCTTTGTGATTGGAAGATAGTATTTATTTCAATTTATAAGCAGTTTGACGTATTTTGTGCTCACCACCTAAGTAAACATGCAGTTGGCGTAATATGGTTATTTTTTAATAATACAAGGTCAAACAAGTCAAATCACCATTTTTCTAGTCAAAAATAGAAAACAGATTGACTTTTCATGAAAATAAGCAGTGAAAAGCATTATATATGGTTCACCTCCTTGATTATGGTGACAGCAAACATAGATGTTCGCAGTCGTTTATAAGATGTTATCAGAAAGAAGTAAGCATTAAACTAACTATGGATATTATATAAATTGTTTGTATTTAGCCATAAAAGGTTATTTGCACTAAAGGTAGCTTTGTTTGGTATTGAAGTGACATATTATTGTGTAACGTATCAGAGAAAAATTATGTGAGTAAGAACTGATGTTGATAGTCTTTTTTACCGGCTTTCTGAACGTATACAGGAACAGTGTATAACACCACATTAAATAGGCACAAAATCTTCATAAGTGAAACGATGGCTGTCTCTTCTGAGCATGGTGACAAAACCATGTCGTACTTAATATTGATTCATGATGTGTCTGTTATAGGGTTGACGAATAATTTTCTGTAAACGAAATGCACAGTCTCAGACGAAAATGTGAACAAACTTATGATGCATATTGTCGAGTAATATCTAAATGGTACCTACCAATTTTTCTTGCTAATACCAGATGTATGTACGAAATAATACAAGGGTTAGACACTGAATAAATTCCCAGTGCTTGTTACGACACAGACTTGAATAAAAAACAACTATTCATGAGTTAATTCATGAATTCCTACTGTGTTACAGACTGACTCGTCCGAAGTAATTCATGCAGACAACGGGACGAAAAGTGAATGAGCAATGGAAGCAGAATCACAAGTTCCTTGTATTCATATCTCGTTTATGCCACATTAATGAATAACATTTTCTTTATAATTCAGACCACGCTTCTTTGTTGTGACGAAACTGATTTCAGCAATTTTTAAATAACATTGATTTGTGTGTTGTAAAGATTACCTATTAATTTTTATTAAAGGAAATAGAAATCTCTAATGATTAGCGCTGTCTGCAAATAAGAGACTTATAGGTACATTCTGTAACCTGCCATTTGATGTACTTATTGAATGTGATACTTATAACTAGGTATAATTCTTTATTTCACAACTGATTTGTTTGTTTTTTCAGAATTGTATGAATCCAATAAAGTCGTCAAAGGTTTGTAATGTTTACGCCGGTCTACAACTTACAGAATTTGTTAAAAAACGGTTTACATGTTCACGTTAACTGTGTTTCGTATTGCCTAGTAACATTTTTATTCAACTAATGAATTAGTGAAATATAAATATAGCAACTACACTTATTGTCTTACTTTATAAACCGTGTCCGTCTTTATTAATAGTCGATATGACGCTAGAACAAATATAGATATAGAATAATATGAACTCCTTATAATCCATGGAGTGAACAAGTAATAAGATGGATTATGTATTAATTCATTTCACTTTTAAAATTTAGTTGCCGATTTATTCCAGCACCCTGTCACTGACATCTGCTCACTTAATCCTCTGTAATTATGTGACCTCTTCAAATTGTAATAAGTTATTACGTGTCCCAAGTTTTCAGTTCTTAAATCCACGGATCACTTATAGGCCATAAGATTTTCACACCAGTTATCTGTCTGTGAACTCCAGTCCACTATTACACCACCCATTCTTAATGTGTTATTGACTGTAAAAACAAATGACCTTTGACCTTAAACTGCATATATATATATATATATATATATATATATATAGTCATTATTGATAACCCACGTCATTTCAATTATTCATATTAAGGTATGTCAACTGTTTCCCACATCACTGTTAAATCCTAATGCATATTTAGTTATAACGAATGCATACCACTGTTAATCAACATTTATCCTGGTTTCATTTTAATTCATAAGCGGAACTAATCACATGGAATTAAAATCTTAGCTACTGATACGATTTTAATTATAAACGTAATCCGACGAAGGTGAATATGATATGTGGGTGCCTAATCTGCAAAATTGTACGTGGATGTAGGGTTTCTGAATCATTCTTAATTATTACAAACAGTTACACATGAACGTCATTGCTATTTATTCCCACGAAAGTAGGAATAAGATGAAAATTAAAATTATGACAGTTTATTGAATAATCATTGCTGCTAAAGCAGAAAATCAAGTTTACAAGTTGGTATTAAGAATTCTTAAGTAATAATTGTCCACTTTGTTCTCAACTTCCGTTGCGAAACGTTCACCATATTTCTCAATGATGCGATGCTTATGGATTCTTTGGCTTCGTTGAATACTTATATACACTTCACTCCGTCGTGGTAATGCAGTTACTGCATTATTTTGGAAGTTCTGGGTATTATGTAACTTCCATCTGCTACAATACCTAAGAAGTTGATGAGCTATGCAGTTAGTATTTCATAATTGATATAGCTTACCTGTAAGATTTCGTCTTTTAACGTAGGCAAGTAGCATGTGACGGCAGGGATATTGATACATCATATTCTAGTGGCATATCCATTTTCTAAATGTTCCTTCACTCCGCCTTTCTGTCTAAGCATATCCATTACCTGGTTCCGAGTAAAACAACCTGAAATATATTTATATACACTTACCAGTGGAGAGTGTAGCTTTCATACCTTTGACATCGGCAGCAGTTGCTTGCTTACCAGTTCTCTCCTTAATGCTTTCGATAACTTCATCTGCTGACTCACAGTGAAGTATTACGGGCTTCAAGTTCTCTTTTTCTTCTGACGATAATCTCCTTGTCAATGGATCACATACCATCCATGAACTACTACATGGATGATTGTGGAGCATGTTGTAGGATTTGATGACATATCCTTGCTCCTCTAGTCTTACACGAAATTTAGATCGACAATTACGGAATTTAGACCTTAAACATAAGATATTAGTTAAAGATCTTACGATTTTTGCCTCACTTTCAAATCTTCCGATTTCCTCTTATGACCAAACGTACAATTAAATGATACAAACAGGTATTTGAACCTGACATCCTTCAGCAATCTGCTTTCTGTGTGGATGTAACGAGTATAAGTAGTCTGAGAAGCGATAAAATTATAATTCCATACTTTTTGGAACTCTTTTAAGGCGCTTTCAAAATCATCCCACAACACGAAACGCTTGTTCAGTATCATACTTCGAAAGGCATCGGTTAGGTCGACTGAAATGTCACTTGAGCATGAAGCACTAAAAACAGAAATGACTAATTATTAAAAGGTTATTCCTTGCGACAATCTCCGAGGTCATAGCAAGAAGGTTCATAAACTATGATCTAATAAACTTAAAGTGGGGTCCCGTTTTTCTCATAAAGTGGTCAATGACTGGAACGCCTTACCCGAACAAGTGGTATCAGCCCCATCATGAAGATTTTCATAGAGAAGTTGAACCTTCACTGGAAAGCAATGTGTTAGGTTTAATACAGGTTCACCAACCCACTATCCTTATAACTTAAGATTGATGACAGTCTGAACTATTGGAACCATTTTGATTTTACCGCTTCTGGAGAAACTTACAAATTGTCGATGATGCACCAATGGTCTTACGACGGTTTGACCTTCAAGAGCTCAGCGACCTCTATTAATGGACAATGACATCGAACCGTTGCTTGGATCTAATGTTTGGCGTTTTCTATTAGCACTAATGGTGTTACAACCTTTATTATTCTGGGATTCGGTTTAACGATTTCATCCCTCTGTGCTGACGGGGTATGGCAAAATATACAAATATATATAGTGCTTCCAGGTTTTCCATGGTGGTCTAGCTTCAATTGACTTATGATCTCAACAATTGAGATTTACATACGTTGCGACTGATTGAATAAGTATCTAGTATCGTCAAGTTGCTCAACATATAATAAATACCAAACCCTCGGCATCCAACCTATTTTAAACGGATGTGTTCAAATACAAATATGTATAGTTAACCATTCATTTTATTGGCAATATGATTCTGCGCCCAGTTTCGGAGTTTTCCCCAACGCATTATAAGATCCTAAGGAAATATTGGGGAAAACCCAAAACTTTGGAGATTCTCCCCAGACCTGTAAAAAATTTGGTGGTTTTGTGCCATTCCCCTAAAGTTTTCTATTTTGGCTCACCCAGAATGTACCAAAAACGGACATTTCCCTCGAAATAGGTAGACTGGGTGCTCAGAAATTCTCACAATGTATAATTTCAGCACTACTGATTTTAGTGTACTAAATAAAACATTTGGTAAATCATGTGCTTTACTAAAAGAAAAACACGGATTCATAAGTTCTGTTTAGTGATTATACACACCTTTTCAGGTACATCTAAGTTCCTATGAATCCTGTTCGCATCTGTTCATGGAATATAAATGGGTTGCGCTCTATTCAACATCCGTTGAAAACTACTTTAGATTCTCTTAAATCTGATATAATTTGTATTCAGGAGACTAAAACCACACGTATGTTTATGTTATTGGTTGATGCTTTGAAATGCAAGCTGACATAAGTAGGGAATTCGCACTTGCGGATAATTACAATGGTTATTTTAGTCATAGTATACACAAGACAGGATATTCAGGTATGTTTGTCGTTGCTTAATCAACACAATAGGTACTGCGGTTTTTTGTCGTAATCCTCTCAAGCCAACTAAAACATTTCATAACTTAAATGATATACTTGTCGAATCCATTTCCTGCCGAAATAATTCAACGGATGGATGGAGTTTTCTCAAAACGAAACTAAATATCACTCATACTGAAGCTCGTAACTTGGATGCAGAAGGAAGAGTACTGGGTCTCCAGTTTTCTACTGATATATTTACCCCCTTTCGAATTCCAGACGAAAAGCGACCGCTGATTGTGTTGTCCATATATTTTCCCAGGTTAAATCCAGAAAACGTTGAACGTTTGAATTACAAACATCTTTTCCAGTCTGCTGTACAACTTTGCATTGAATCACTTCTAGTAGAAAAGTAGGCTATTCGTTTATTCAGTCTGTAATATTTCAGCAACGTAGTTATTGCTGGGGACTTTAATATTTGTCACAAAATGATCGATCATTGTGCTCCAGACGAATTTATTGTAAGTCAACTAAGTGTGATAATCGTAATTACGAACATTTAATTTATATGCCAAGTACTTCTATTTTGTCTTAAGGCATGATGTTTGTGTTAAAGTTAGTAATACTACTCAAGATCTCAAACCGAACTAAGTGTTATGGGTGGTGAACCTGTGATTTGAAGATTAGAAACTGAGTGGTTTCATTGTTCACTCGAACTTTATCAAAACAATAATAATTAAGCTCAATATATATCGAAATAGCGGATAAAAATAAAAGTAATGGAAGACAAAGTGGACGAATTCCAACAGATTAGTGATAAGCAGAAAATTGAGGAATAACTTAACTGTAAGAAGTTATACCGAACATGCATCAGATCGCTTATGTTTGATAGAAAAAATCAGAGCACACTTGAAATCTTATGCCTTTTAATTTGTCAGATGCTTCAGTATTCATACACTATCTTAGCTAAGTAGTAAGATGCCACCGTAATAAAAAAAGGTATGAATCCCTCAAAGAGACTTTTAACCATATGCGCGGAAATTACAGCCAAAACCTGTCTTTAGTTGTAGAAATTAGTCTTCCCAACTTATATATAAAGTGATAAATACATTTATTGGCAGGGAAACCAGACTTCGATTAAATTTGAATTGTGTGTGATTGGTGTGAAACTCATGAAACAAGCTAAACGTTACGTATCTTATAACCCTTAATTGGTACGACTAAAGTTTAAATATGTCTACATGACTAACAATTGTACACTAAAATACCATTAAGCTTCCATAACTGACAACTTTCAACACACCTAAAACTGTCTTGAAACAAAGTCATCCCATCATAACAAACAGCGAATTTAAACATACACTAACTATTAAGTAGATCTCTTGAATGAAGAGCCCCAGATTTCAATCGTTATTTTATGACCATGATAATAGCTAAGCATATGTCAACGTTAGAACTACCTTGTTAGTTGAGGCTTTGTTCTAAGTACTCTAGATACAATTGGTACATAAGTTTGAGTTATTTGAAAAAGCTATGCAAATTTTGTTTCGTGTACTATTCAGATGGATGAGTCTTCAAAATCTTTTCGCCAGTGGTTTGATCGGTTGTTGATTGAAGAACAGCAAGATCTAAGTCTTAATACTCAAATCAGTGTTGGTTTAAGAAGATTCGTGGATATCTTCAGGTGATTACCAGGTTTTTCAAAAGTAAATTTCGAATTATTATTACTATGCTATTACGTTTAAAGTGGTTACTTTTGTAAGAAATGGCCAGTTAATTCCAATCTACACTTATAGTCATAGGAAATTAGACGCATACAGTAGAAAGACACACTAGTATAGAACCTTACACGAAAATATATAATTTGAAACTGACATGACTCGAAACAGCAAAGGAAAAGACGGGTAGACATACGCCTAACGAGAATTGTATTGGTTGGGAATGGGAAATCACTGATAAGAAGTAGGATTTAGGATACAGAAAATTAGTAGACTATATTTTTCTAGAAACATTTCTTGCATAAATATTTTCAAGCTCACGCCATATAAACAAACTCAAACTATTATGAATAAGCACCCATTAATCGGCCTCTTTTATTCCTAAAAGCAGATTACTCTAGATAGAGTAAATCATTCTTCCATAAATTACATAAAAGTGGTGATGGCCTCTCGTTCTAGTGTGTGTTTTCTTACAGAGACTATAACCGATAAAATATCGACTAATTTTATATAGATTGTAAAGTGAATAATTGGGATGGCTACTTCGTTATTAGTTGTGTTATATATGGTATACCGAAATAAAAATCTATGAAGTGGTTAGTCCATAGGTACTCCCGAAAGATTTTTCTTTTAAGGCAACCTACCGAAACCAGACGAGTTATTAGCTCTATAAACACTAAAAACATAAAGTAATTCAACAAACTGGAGTGTTTTGTGAAAATCATCATTGCATATGATGAGTAAGGTTGTTCCAAGTAAATACATGGGTCTGAAATCGCCCTAGTTAGTGTCTGTGTAGTCCCCAAAACCTTTGGACTCAATAGTACCACTCAAATAAATCACTAGTTGTTGTGCGATTTTAAATATAAACTGTGCCGTTTAAATAAATGATTTCTAGGAGTTTTAGAAGCGTTCTAGTAACAAATATTTTAGTCTTTTGAGAGCTCATGAATGACTTCCAAAATATCGAGTAAAAATGCGAATCGTTCGCACTTTTTAGTAATGTAGTTTAATTAAGTTGGATGGCGTTTTAATCCATAGTAGTCACTTTGGACTTAACATATTGTTTAATTTCTTCACTTTATGTGATTATGACTTAGGCTACTCCATCCTCGTCGAGAAAATGCTTTTACATGTTGGTCGTCGCGTACGAATGCTCGTCAAACAAATTATGGAGTCAGACTGGATTATATTTTATTCGACATGAAACTTGTGGAGATTATCACCACCATATCAGATAACAGTATACAAGCAGACTTGATGTCACATATAAATGGATCTGATCATTGCCCAATATATGCAGATCTACCATATTTTTACAATTCAGATTTGATTTTTTCCTATTCATTTCCACCTAAATGCTCTCATTACTGGCCCCAATGTCAGAGAAAGCAAATGGACTTAGAGAGCTTCGTAATGTCAAAGAGTCATTCCAAAGTAACTAAACAAGCTTTTACTTCTCATGACACACAAGCTTCCGTATCCTGTGTAAGAAATTCGCATTCCAAAGAGAAACGTCTCGCTTTCAGGCAAACGAAAATCACCTTCAGGGGTAAGTTAGTCTAAACACTGTTCATTAAGTTCTCAGGTGAAAATCAGATAATGTCCTTGACTCATTTTTGTGATTGTTATATGCCTATGACGAAGAATCTTATTTTTGGGGATCTAATTAGTTATTTTCTATCAAACAGTAATTTCTCCATTTCGCTACTATTTGAGTTGCACAGATAAAGAGTAACCGTAGATATATTTAAATACACTTGATAACCGAATCCAATATTACTTAAAACAATTTTGATAATTTAATGAAAAAAACTGCTGTATTATCAGTTAATTCATACGCTGTGTTTTTTATCAGAGTCTATACCAATAGAGACGGCTACACGTATACATGATCAATTTTCAAGTAAAGAGAATACGACTGAAACTCTCCAAAGAAAAAATTACGACCCATCTCAAACAGCTCAGTCAACTGAAGCATGGCGAAATCTTTTTTCAGGGCCGAAGAAACCTCCTGTATGCCTTGGCCACAAAGAACCTTGCGTCATGAGGACTGTGAAAAATTTAAAAGCAACTAAAGGTAGTCGAGTCGGCAGGCGGTTTTGGGTTTGTGCACGCCCTCAAGGCGCTTCAGACAATCCAGCTGCCCGGTGTAGCACATTTTTTTGGGATGACCAAATACCAAAAAATAAGTTACTCTAGTAGCAGTTTTGTATTAAGAGTTAAAATCAATTTTAGATTATGTAAAAAGAGATAAAAGATAATATCACATTTCGGTTGTTTGTGTCTTAGAAGTTGGCGAATTAAGAAATTGTTTATCAGCTATTTGCTAAAGGGTACATTTTTAGATCTTTGAACTATTTGAATGGGACCTACTGTGTGTTGAGTTATCAGATACATTATTGAGAGTTGGTTTAGCACATTCACGTTGCGTGGCAGCTGTAAGTTCCCTGAATCGTTTCATTATCAATATTAAGGCTCTCTCTCGACGTGCTATGGGCTCTTGTAAACGCATGAGTGGATGCCATCTTATGTAGTAAGCTGTCCAAAATTGAAGCTGAGCTAATGCATGCTGAGGAAAAATCACACGATGACCACTGATCTCAGCAGGAGTATAAAGTGGGTTTTGATACAACTGGATATCTGCATTGATATATGCCCACAATGAAATAGTCCTTTCACGTACACCATGGTCGCGTCCTTGCATTTCTGAATTGAAAAGAAATGTTCCGAATCGCGCAGAATATAACTCATCCATTATTGTTATGAGAAATCGTTCGTTGAATTCAAATGAATGAGGAAATTGCTGCATCGTCTGCCACACACAATCAATGAACTGTAAAAATACTGGGGAACGCTCCTCAGGACTTGATGGCCGTCCTCCACCAGTTTCATTAACAACAGAACTTGATGAGTTGGGAGGCAAATAAATCCCACCATCGGTAGGTCCACCTGTGCGCTGTGCGAATTTGTGCCCAAAAGAACACCATTCTTTCTCGACTAATACTTCAAATCCGCGTATTGTACGGTAGTACGGATCTAGCATCAACATTGCTAAAGATGTAACTTGAGTTGTCCGGTCCCAACCGTCTGAGCAATGTATTAACACAGATGTTTTATGATTTTCAATCTATAATCAGATTTTAACGGAAAAATAAAATATTAAGTCACGATTTAATTTAAAGATTCTCAGTGTCAATAATTTATACCACTAAACATAGCATCAAGCCTATATTGCAGATTACAAATCTAGCTTACTTTATCGGCTACACTGGTTGCGGCGAAAATAATTTGTTTAATATGATAAAGCCATTTAGAGTCAGCCAGTTGCTTAAACCATCGTGTATCGTCTGGTAATGGAAAACAGGCCTCGAAAACTTTTGTCAATGCAGCTCGCATTGCGTGTATATTTTGTATATTTAAGAACATATATTGAACGTTTTCATAATAAGCTGGACTTTCAACACCTCCGCCAACGCCCATATTAGCTATTGCGTTAACCTAGAATATTGAGTATTAAAAACCATAGATTCACTGGAATTGGTTTAGGAAATTAAAAATATAAATATTTTTAATGCGACTGAAATATTGTAGTCTTTTAAGGTAGATTATGTTTTAATAAGGCGATGGGAATTTTCAATGTATTTATGACTAATAATTACTCAAAATAAAGCAATCCTTGAGAGAAAGAAGACAAAATCAGAGGAATAAGACTATCTCTTCTAGATTCAACTAATCATTCCACCGCACTAGTTGGCTAGAAACGACTTAGTGTGACTCTGAGTGGTTCCACATCGAGATATATTTTTGTTATACCCGAACAAAGAATAAAGCAATGGTAACTACTAGGAATTATTTATGGACTATTATTATTGGGTAATTATTAGATAATTAGACTATATATATTCATATCTCTTTTATTTGACCTATTGGTTACTGCTATACGATTGACCATTCCTAACTTATTCCCGACAGTTACTGTCACCTTAACGTAGTGGTCGGGCTTACCTATCATGATGAACCAATCGGCCCTCAAGGCCCTACAATGCCAGGTAGGTCGGTTGAAGAGCGATATGACAAAAAGCAGCAAACTCAAGGTTCGAGAGTGAAGTCGTACTGCTGACTGTAGAGAAGTGTGACGGCATTAAGGTGTCTCCGTCAGACAACCAGCATGATAGCGATGAAACCTTTCTACAAAGGAAGGGTGGAGTTATAAAGGGTCGACCCTAAGAATGCATAACTCGCCTTAACCCACGGATGCTCGTGGGGTGAGGTCTCAACAAGTGCAAAGCTAACACTAAAACTACCTACAAAAAAGTGTGTGACTGGCCTCAAGCAGTTGTCCCTTGGGCATTGTGGTCGCGCTCTCAGATCACTAAGATTAACTCTAACTCAATTTCCTTTCCACGCCTAGCAAAGACTCGTGGACTGCAAACACGAAAAATTCAGGCTGGCTTCAGATCTGGTCGTGGCTGCACCGACCACACATTTGCCATTTGTCAGGCCTTCGAACACAAGTATGCTTATCAGCGTCCGACAATGATGGTTTTTCTTGACTTAAAGGCAGCATTTGACTCTGTAGAGCGAGAGGTTCTGTGGCAGTATCTGACATTAAAAGACGTACCTCAGAAGTACATAAAACCTTGTGAAGACTTTTTACTCTAACACTAGTCGAGTCAGAGCTTATGGCGAACTGTCATCTGATTCCGCAACCTCGAGTGATATCCGACAAGGCTATTTACGATCTCTATTTCTATTTAATCATAGACCTAGTGCTTAAAATAACGTTCTCATCGTCCGAATTTTCAGGAATTGATCCACCGGGAGGCCCATTTATCGAATTAGAATATGCAGATGACATAGTCCTGTTCGGTGAAGACGCTGATAAAATGCAGTCTTTTGGTAGTACTGAGCAACAATGCCAGGATGTCTGGGATGCGTTTCTCCCCCTCCAAATGTGAATTGTTGTCAACACCTGAACTAAGGGTAGGGAGTGAAGTAGTCGAACGCGTTGACAACTTCACTTATCTTGGAAGTCTGATCAGCCCTAATGGGTTGGTATCTGACGAAATCTCAGCACGGATTCGAAAAGCTCGTTTGGCTTTTGCGAACTTACGTCACCTATAGCGAAGGCGAGATATCCGTCTATCAATAAAAGGACGAGTATACTGCGCGGCAGTTTGTTCTGTTCTACTTTACGGCTGCGAAACGTGGCCATTAAGAGAAGATACTCGTAAGCTACTAGTATTTGACCACAGATGCCTTAGAAATATTGCTCGAATCTGCTGGGATCACCGGGTAAGTAATGGTGAGGTTATACGCAGGTTATTAGGTAATGATGGTAAATCAGTTGATGAGGCTGTGAATCTTCATCGACTGAGATAGTTGGACCACGTGCTGCGTATGCCTGAGCACCGATTACCATGACGCGCAATGCTGAGTAGTGTTGGGGATGGTTCGTCATTCTCAATGATGATGACATACCTGGTGTTCGTGTGGCACAGTTTTTTGTCAGATTACATCGAAAATCAGGAAATCATCGGGCTTTGTTGCATAGTATCATCTTTCAGCTAGATGCTGCATTGAGAAGGTGAATTAACTTAATTTTTACAACATACGAGTTAAATGCACACATATATAAACCATATCCATAGGTGTATTAAACATCCACCTCGGGGAATAGTACTGATTTCTTAATTTAAGGTTGTCGGTTTATCAGCTTGTTAATTTAAACGGTATATCTTACTAATTTGAAAGTGAATTTTACAATTTTAAGAATCTTTATAGTGGCTAATGATACATCATGTTAACGTAAGAATTCTCAAATAATCGATCTTAGGAAGTGATCATATAATTTTTAGTGTTTCATCACAGTAAAAGTAACGTTTTTTCTCATAGACGATGTATTTCTTTATGTGTAAAATTATGAATTTATTAAGTGGAGTAGCGTTAATAATAAGCTTTATTGGTCATCATTATGTCATGAATATGTAAATGATCAATGATTTCTTGTGGCCCATACAGTAGAGGTTAGTTTTCTTCAAGTATACAGTAGTTTTCTATTAATTGACTACCGGAGTCAAAAGAGATCTGTTTGTTAACTTATTTCAACTACGATAATGTGATATTGTAGCGTGAAACGTAATGTGGAGATTTTTGGAACAACTCCTTTTAATTTACTCTTTAAAAAAAGACTATTATCTCAAGTGATCACCACTCAAGAGAATAATATCATCACTCCCAATCTTTAGTAAGACCAAATTCCTATCATATTTCAATTCTCTGCAATGGTACAGTTTTTTAGTGCCTATACAGTCAATCTTCTTCAAGAAATAGGCGTTCTAGCTAATCTATACTTAACTAAACGCAGGAAAATTTCATTGTACATGCCAGTTTATACGCCTTGTAGTTTTCCTCATCTATCATATCCTCAAGATGTTTGCCTCACGTATAAAGATCACATGCATATGAAAATTTTCGCTTGTTTTTTAAGTATTCATGTAAAGTATGATCTGTTTCGTCCGAAAAATGCAGTTGACGTCTTACTATATCTGTTCCATAACTTTATCAGAAATCCGAACACTTACAACATTGAGATTATCAAACTTAGTCATTGAGGGGAATATAAAAGGAAGTCAAGATAATGAAGATAATTGCCTTCTACTAACTTAACTATGGTCAAGTCTACATTAAGCAAAAAGAAATATGATACAGTTGATTTTCCTCGTGTAAAGTTTTTGATATTTTGTATTTGTAAGCCAAGTTATATGGGTGTGCAATTTGGAATTGTGATGGATATTTTCGTTGTTATGTTTATCAAATAAATTTCATAATAATTTAAATGGTATTCTATCTTTACTGTAGTTCTTCTTTTGTTATACTAACAGACGCAAATGCAAAGCGATCTAATTGATAAATTGTTATTGTAATACTTTCGTTGGTTGTAGTTTCAAATTCCACTTATGATTTCTAGTTACGATAAATTTAAGTTATAAATATTCTTATTCCCAACTACTTGGTTAGTATTCGAATAATAACCTCGATCGTTGGTTGGAAACTTTAAGTGACATGGCTCAGAATCGTTCACATTAGCGCATATGCATTCACTCTTTATCCTATTCTCTGCTTCGGTTTGGGCACCCGGGCAGTATCTTAGCCCTCACATAAATCGAATGATTTATGTGGCGCATATCTGGTTTCTGCATCCTTGTGCCAATATTTATTTATTTATATTATAAATAGTTGGGGATGGTTGAAAGAAAGTTAGGGGCGGCCAAACTGAAAGTGGCATCAGTGCTTGAAGTCACTAACTTCTGGTCTGAGCCATGTTGGTAGATGCAAACTACTTGGTTGGGGTCAGCGCGACTATCGTAACCACTGATTGAAGACTCTGAGTGACATGGCTCAGAATCGATCACAATGGCGTAGGTGTATACACTTTGTCCAGTTTTAAACTTTGAAATTAAAACTACTTTATACCTTCCTTTCTACGAACTAACTCCCAGTATCATATCCTTATATCCACTCTTTTTTGTATATTACTACCATTAAAGTAACTACTTCTATGAATCCGGTGTTCATCTTGTTGTGCTATTAAGGTGTGGCAACTTGGACCGATGCATGCATGTGTCTGGTCCTACGTTGTAAATGACTGACCGACTTAACTTATTCCTAATTTATTAGGTATAGTATCCCATACTCACAGTCACTTTTGGTCTGGTCCTTTATAATAATTATTTTTCATTTCATGATATGATGCTGTCTGATCTGCTTGCACATAAACCACGTATGCCTGGAATATACGATTCATACAGAGAAGGCTGATATTTGTGTTCCGAACTGAACGAGCTGAGCTAGGTAAAAAGTTATTATACACAGGACCAATAAATACTCAGTGTTGATTCTAAGCTACTCGTGTTAGTCAACACATCGGTTTAGCACAGATACAAGGTCATACAAGCCAGTGTCCTCATTGGTGGTTTTGTCACGTGATATTTAACGGGTCGTAGAACGTAATACTCTATTTCTACGACGGTGTAATTAATCATTAGCCAACCCATGTTAGTAGAATGTAGTCCTGACTGTACATGTAGTGATCGGGCCCGAATTCGGATACGCCGATAGATCAGAGCTACTATAGCTGTCTAGTAGATACTAGAAGATTCTGAAAAACATTGTTCATCCAACTGAGAATGTGTAAATTTCTGTTCACTGTTCGCTAACTACAAGTAACTTTTTTGTGAAATGGTGACCCAAATGAAAAAACTAATGTGAACTAACACAAACACGAGTCAGGCATCTTACCTGTGGACGAGCATCAAATATCAAAAGGTTATTTGCATTAGCATTGGCTATCCTGAGCTGACGAACAAGTTCTTTATCGTCGGAGCTGCGGCGGCCCTGGACACCAACAAGAGGTTGACTTGCTCTGGTTAGACTTGCTTTGCTTTCAGGATGCAACCAACTTAAAACAGGTATCCGACCGCGGCTGCGATGGGGTGCACATGCGACTAGAAGTTCATCAGTTACTTCCCATGGAACAGCTAAAATAGCTGGGTAAGTATCACACAACCTATAATCCATGTTAATCTGTAATTTAGGAATAAGAAACAGTAAGCAATTTAAGAAGGTTGTATTTAGAAGTCAAAGTGGTTTCGTGATAACAATAAGCAGGCGTTCTCAAATTTGATGACGGAAACCTTCCAAGCAAGCACAAAATAATGTATAAATGTAGCTTTTCGATAATGAATTTTAAAGTGAAGTATCGATAGTTTCAACCACTCTAGACAAATCACTATGTAAAAAGAATACCCTACACCTGGAATGCAGACATTCTGCTATTATTTACTTATTTATACTCCAACCACTTTTACTCACAGATCTACTTCATAGTCGTCGTTACTTTTTTCTGTGTGGTTGTATAAATTAGTACGTTTTGGGGGTTGTGTTAATACATGCTGGATGCTGAGTAAACATCAATTAGTCAAAAACGGGATAAGACCTGGTACAAATATGCATCGACATAACCTAGTCCACCACATTTACACATCGAGAAGAAATTCATGATATACAGCAAATAAGTCAATGTAACAGTAGTGCTTATGACATAGGGAAGACTGAACGAAATAGAGGACTAAGAGGAATAAAATTGTTTTACAGACCAATATTGACAGAGAATTGATGTCATAATCACATCTAGTGTCCTTAGGTAGTAACTATGGCTAATGCACAGATCTTAACCAGATCTAAGAAATACAGTCGAGCTGGAAACATATACAATCTGATCAACAAAAAAGTAGTGAAAAAGTAGGGAATTTCAAAAATTATGGTATGGTTATGATAATAAAAAAATAGTTTAATACAACGTAGTGAAATAACTGTAGAGTTAAGCATAAATCCTAGGTAGTCAATTAGTAGTGATCTGTTTATAAATCTTGAGTACTTTTTCCACAGTACACGGTATGTTTTCCTTTTCACACGAAGATTATGGATAAATACTAAGACTTACTTTTGTAATCCTCCAGCCGTTAGTAAAAATGTTCTGGCGGTGATATTCTTCTTCTGCATTATACACATCCCAACCATCTATTGCAAAAACACTATTTGCAATGCACTTTGCTCCATATAAATAAGCAAACAGTGTTTTTTTGGAAATAGCAGGAAACGCGTTTGCTTTAAGATTTTCACAGAACCCAAGACTTCGCCCACAGTCCTAATAGATAAAGTCAGAACATATATTGTAACTACCGGGAAGGCGAACACTAGTTCTCGGATATCTTTACAAACAATATGAAGTGAAATATTTCCCTGGTTGGATTTCTGGTCAATGTTTCGAATTGTTCCCAATGGCAGCTTTAAGATGTATCTCTTTTTATCTGAACCGTGAAATGATTTTGGTGCACGAGCAGAACTAGCTTCGTTGGGTAAAGCAATAAATACTACTTGAAAGTTTGTTAGCTTTTAAATAAGCGTTAAGAGGATCAAACCTCTATCACACCATGCAGATTTAGACCACCATAAGTTACATGAGAAGCCGAGCAATGATCAACCCTCTCTTCACCGGGGAGTTTACGATAGGCATGGCCTGAGAGTAAACTGCTATAGGCTGACATTTAGCGCGGATATCAAGAAAGGACGCAAATCCTCAGGCTATCCAATTCCAGTGACGTAGCGTCATAGTCAAATATGCCAACTCAAATTGTATTTGTTGTATTATGATATGGCTCGGAAATGAGGTAGCTTCTGTTGTGTTGAGTGATTCCCAGAACTGATTAAATGTGATTTTCTATTGGCTTGCCAGATATGCGCTCCCTCCTTGTTTTTTCGACACGGTCCCAGGTATCTGGCTATGTCCAATCGATGGTAATATAACCATTTGACTGCATCAATTCTAACCGCGCCACTAGTCAATTGTGTATTTGCATATCTTTTAGTCGAGTGGGTGAGTCTATCTCAGGTCATTAGGGTTTCTCGAACATGTAGTTCTCACATTACCAGGCAGGTTGGTTGATTGTAATGTGAAAATTAATGAATAAATTGGTAAATAGGTTAATTGACCGGTAACGAAGACGTTGTAGGAAGAACGCACTCTATAAATCTAAGATATGTGAAGTTGATTGTAACGGCAAATAAATCCCTAAAGTAAAAAGCTCTATAGGTCGTCGACATTTTATGCTGACCACATTAGTCTTAATAAACTCACCTAGCTGAAGGCGCTCAGTCATGCTTTCACACTAGATCACGAGTGGGAACGCCGTGCTCAGCATCCACTACAATCGTCAGCCAGATTAAATCAGTCGATTCTCGATATACTGATAGCCTCTCAAATATATCTTCGAACGTTCTCGCTTCTGTAATTTGATTTCACTAGACAGGCACGATTCATAGCAGATGGTATTACTGGTTAAGGTGTTGTCAAACTCCGAAAACCTGTGGCATCTTCACTATGCAGGAAATGATAACTGATATGTGTCAATGATAACAGTGGTAAATTATGAGACGCACATCTGGCGTAACTGATCTAGGCAGGAAATGGTAATCCATGGGCGAGTGCTTGTTGTTTGAGTCTCGTCTTGAAGCTATCCACTCAGAAGCCGTGGTCATTTATGTTGGGAGAGTATCTCAAGTGGTAGCAACTATTGGTGGAAATAAGTTGGAGTGTACCTGGACGTTGGCTCTTTGATGTGTAACCGGTCGAGTGTTGCAGCCAGAGGCGTGAACATGGTGATTCGATAACATGCTCTTGTTTGAATGGCTTGGCGTACTTAATATGTTGTATGCTATTGTCGAACCACGTCCCATTTTCCTGTTGCCAAAGAAGAATGACTCCAGGTGCTGGAGTCTGTCCTCGTAAGATTTATGTTTTTGAACCGTTTAGGCATTGAGTCCTAACCACACAATCATCAAAGCTGAACACCAGACAATTGGGGAAATAGATTTCAACATTTAACGCTGATAAAAACCCAATGATGGAGAAGGCGGAAAAAATGAGTTGAATTAATTCGAGTTGGTCGGATGGCATGGCTTGCCCTTGCAGGCGTGGTCTTACTTGTGTTACATTATTGTTATCCATATTAAATACCTCCAGCCTAAATGTGTTCCCCATCATGTATTGATGGTTGTTACAACGTGATGAATCAGGGTAGACGATGACGTGACTTCCACGTAAGATCTTATAGATTAGGCAGTTGTACCATGACCAATCTACAATTTTAGGATTAGGTCAACTATTAGAGCAGTACTAGTATCATAGTAGACCATAATTCTACAGACCTACCGCACACTTGGCCGTTCGTCTCCTTACTTGATCTAAGACATTTATATCCCTTTGACAGAGAGGGGCGTTTACAACTTTTTGGACCTTTTGATGTGTTGGGGGAGACTTGGAATGATTGCTCTAGGTTGTCTCCTCACAAAATAGAGAGTTACCTTTGCTTCAACTGCCTCCAATATGGAGTAGAATTATGGTGGACTTGATATTAGTACTGCTCTAATAGTTGACCTAATCCTAAAATTGTAGATTGGTCATGGTATAACTGCCTAATCTATAAGATCTTACGTGGAAGTCACGTCATCGTCTACCCTGATTCATCACGTTGTAACAACCATCAATACATGATGGGGAACACATTTAGGCTGGAGGTATTTAATATGGATAACAATAATGTAACACACGTAAGACCACGCCTGCAAGGGCAAGCCAAGCCATTCGATCAACTCGAATTAATTCAACTCATTTTTCCCGCCTTCTCCATCATTGGGTTTTTATCAGCGTTAAATGCTGAACATCTATTTTCCCAATTGCCTTCACTATTCTCGTGGCCATGGGGCATGCTAAAGGTGCTCTCTACGTCGTCGTGAAATCTGCTGCGATGTAATCAATGTATGGGCGTATTCTCGTCCCTTTGAAATACCACGTTTGTGAACATGTTAAAAATTGCTCTGCCACTGTCACTGCTTTCTTTTGGGGCTGGACATGAACATCCTCATTTATAAGCTGATCATCTTTCAGTAAGCAATCTAAGTTTATGGGGTTTCCGTCCCATTTCCATCTCATGGCTCCACCCATGTGTCCAGTCAGTCCCGAGATTATAATGGCTGTGGCTTGACACTTTTGGAACCGTCCCGTAGGGATTGTATTCTGTTTGCTGAGATTTGAGGATGGAGTTTTGAAGTCTTCAGATATAAGTATTTGGTCAGAATCCAGATATGATAACATTAGTATCAGCTGTATTATTTCGTTTTTGGGACATTAGAGCCTGTGAGAAATCGGTATATTTTTCTTTAACCAAGAACTTCGTGTCACTCACATTGAAGCACCACTATAATGTTTCTGTCTCCTAGGTTAATTCAGTACAGGGTGATGTTACAGCTTCAAAGTGGAAGTAAATGTATTTTGCCAATCTACCTTCCGTTTTGTGCACTCTATCATGATTGAAAGGTGTCATGCTTTTCTAGATCGAATCTTTATCCTTGATTCCGGGAGTATCTACGTTCGAGACAGGACAATGATCTTCAGGCCTGTCTGAAAGTACATGTTTCTGATTTCTCTTAGCTTAGTCCTTTAACATTGCTTAAGACGCTCTTGATAATTTATCTCACACAGTTTTGATACTGAAAATGTTTTGTACACACTTTATAGTTAAATATACAAACCCCCTTCTATCAGAAAACCAAATTATGATTAATCACTCCACCTTTTTTTGGTTATTTCTTATTTAGTCCATTATTATTTTCTGATTTTCACACTATATCTAACTTAGTGTCATTGCACTTTTAAACAGCAACCGAATTACATATATCTCATTATAAAGTCTTTATCGTCTGACGATTTGACATATTATTTATACTAAAGTTTCAGTCACAACTTTTGCATCCTTCATAACCTAACAGCTTTCGCCCGAAATAATGAAACCTCGAAATATTGGGCAAACGCGACTAAGACTCGATCGGGCGTCATTTATTCCATTTTTGACATTTCTGTGCAAAATAACTACCTTTGCATTTTGAAGGTAGAAACATTTTGGTCCCTTGAATTTTTGCTCTAAGCCGCAAGCTGAGGTAATAGCTTAGCTTGATACAACGTAATGTGAATTCTAATATCTTCAAAGGTAAAAAACAGCAATTCTTCACCTCTCATTTGGTTCTGCTGCAAATCGAAGAAGAGTGACTGGAAGGACGTCGCTTAACGGTTAAGCAGTCTGCATTCTGAACCACGTAATTTGCAAATTTCTGTACGTGAACGTGATCTTGCAACAGCTTGAATTCAGTGATTAAGAGTTAGCTGTAAACAATTTGATGATTTCAAATCATTACAACTAAATTTATTACTGACTTCCTTATTTTGGGTTGGTATTATATTTTCGATTACCAGATACTCACCTTTGGAAGGTTTGTATGTTGAAATTGGAATCTTGCTCTCCCAAAGTTCTTCTCAACGATCTGAGCAAAAACCCACTGCAACCACTAGTCTGGCTTTTGCCATATCTAAAATGAGAAGTAACTACCAGCATTAAGATTTTCATCCCAAAATATAATTACTTTTTCTCGTAATGCATTGAACTGCTAGTACATTCTATTCCTCACAAATATCCTGACCAATTTTGTTAGTGGAAAAACATTTTGGAATACTTTACCAGGTGTAACCATATGTACATTGTAACTGATTTGATAATTGGAGTTGTTGTGTCCGAATTGAAATATAGTCCTGTCACTTACGTGCTTTTAAAAAGTGATCTAAATGGGATCACTCTCTTACCGACAGGCATCTCCAGTGAGATTAGTTTTCAATGACCTTGAGTTCCTTGCGCTATGAACTAGAAATGAGGCACTCACGTGATAAACATAGTTACCAATTTACCCGAAATCGAATTCACCTATTCAGTAACACGTGAAAATCAGCACTATTTTAAAAGAAATATATATAAAATGTCCCTAACTAACAGCATTTATGCACAGATAGAGTTAAACAATCCTTGTCGGTTAGATGCAGGTATCTACCTCAGTACAACGAAAGATGGTCCCGCAATTTCTTGGATTGTTTGAGGTTAGACGTTAACACCGTTGGATGCCGCTTCAGTGGTCTAGGGGTTAGGTGTTCATGCACTAATTTGTGCTAGAGAAACCCTTGACTGTATTGCACAGGCTTCATGTCTTGAAATATTTTGTATTTCTGGTATAACTTGTTTCTTAAATATAAACCGCTTACACTGAACACATAGTTTGTGTTTTGATGCAATTTAATACGAAGAACTCAGAAACGCTTCTCACACTATACAGAGGAGAGTGGTTTGGACTAATTGAATAAACGTTAGTTCATCGGTTTTGCGTTGAAACCAAAAATTGGCACTTCGGCCGTTACAGTGGGTTTCGAATAGACTGATGATGTCACAGGTATTCAGTGTTTGACAACGCTTCTACCAGTAACACCTTCGAATGTATTTCGTTCCCACCCAGAGAAATCAAAAGACAGAGTCGAGGAGATCGGAAGAGTATATTTGGCGATGACCAATATATCGGAATTCTCTGATCTAATCTGGATAGCGATTGCGGTTGATGTTGAGCACGGCGTTGCCACACGTGATCTGGTACGGATGCATGACCGAGCGCCTTCAGCTAGATGAGTCCACTAAAACATATGGTCAGCATCCAATGTCGAAAACTTACAGAGCTATTTATTTTGGGGATTTATTTACCACTACAAGACTTGTAGTGGCATTGGACAATAGCCACACAATCCACAAAGCTGTGAACACGAGACTACTCAGAAAATAGATATTC